CAAACTGGGTCCAAGTCCAAGCGGCTAAAAGATATTTGCAAGAATCCGTGGTGCTCGGAAAAACCTGTCCCATCGGCGCCTGCCTTTGCTCAACCTCTTCATTCACAACTCCTGCTACTCGCTGTTGACCCGAAGCCCCACGAGCAAACCGGGGCACATGCGAAACTAGAGGTCTGTATCATGTGTAGAAGGTATTCGGAGCACAGACCACTCATTCCAACAAAATCATGTCGCAGCCGAACTAAAAACAATAGTTTCATGGGTGCGGATGAACGATGGCACGAAGTACTGCAGAAAAGATGCCGATCGTGTTTTTTCTGTGACAGGTGTTTGAGCAACTCAGGCGCTACGCTCTTTCTCAATCGGTGCAGGTGCTTGCTCGTTGAAATCTTTGGGATCTAGCGCGGGACCTGTTGTCTGGTGGAGTGCGGCCGCATTGATGCCAGGCCACGCGCCCAAAACAAGCTCCTCTTCCTACCTAGGGGAACAAAAAGTTGCATAAAACATAAAAGCTCGGGGGCCCGCGCGGATTTCTCGGATCGGCGCTGGACCCCTCTCCCTGGCGCGCGGAGCGCGCCAGGGGCGGCGCCGGAGGCGCCGCAAGGGGGTCACAGCGTCGATCCGAGGAATCCGCGCGGACCTCAGAGTTTTTGTGTTCATGCCATTCTTCGTTCCCCTGCTACCTCCCTCCCCTCTCCCTCCCTCCAGAGGCTCGAGCGCGGGAAACGAGAGCACCGTCAGCCCCATGCAGGGAGCGATCTTCAAGATAGCCTCCAAGAGGCCTCAAGAAAACTGGCAATCAATTCTGGACGGGCTGGTGTGGATACTTTTTCGGTCGCGTCCGCAAGCGAAAGCGCAGGCGGAGACAGAAACTGTCCGGGGCACGGAAACAAACCTAATTAGCTGCCCCGCAGGGGGCCGAGCCCGTGCGCGCTGCCCCGCTGAGGGCGACGCCTGTCGGTCGCTGGCGGCCGCGTGCCCTGGGAAGCTGCGGACGAGGCCGGCTCCATCCAGCGCTCTGCCGGCTGGGCTGGGCCGATCGCCACCGCCGACGCGCACATTGCAGGGATGTGGTCGCGGCGGCGCGAGCTGCCCAATCTCGACGACGACGACGACGAAGAAGAAGACGACGAAGAAGACGACGACGACGAGCTGGAGGAGATGGTGATGCAGCTGCCGCGGCGCGCCCAACCGCTGCGACTGCTTGGGCTCGATGTGCCCCGTGCGGCGGCTCACCCTCACCCTCTCTGCCGTGCCGTGCGCCGCCGCCGCCGGCTCTCTTCCCCCGCGCCCCCGGGCGAGCTGCACTGACGACTCGACTGCCCCCCGATGCCCGCGGCAACCCCGGCGCAGGCGAAGGCTGCGGCTGCCGTGGCCGCGGCGGCCGAGTGCCGGGCGGCAGGGCGCCGCGCCGTGCGGCCCAGGCACCGTGGGGGGGGCAGGGCGTGGGGCCGCGCGCCGTGCGGCGGCCGAGCGCCCCGCGGCAGCTGCGCGCGAGGCACGGCGCCGCACGCCCGGCCGAGGCCCGCCGCCGCGCGGCGGCGGAGCGCAAAAGGCAGGCGCTGGGCGGCTGCGGCGTGCATGGCGGAGGCCGAACGCCGCGAGGAGGCCGGGCGCTCGGCGGCGGCCGAGCGCCGTGAGACTGAGCGCCAAGCGGCGGCCGAGGGCCGACCGCCAGGCAGCGGCTGAGCTCCAAGCGGCGGCCAAGGGCCCAGCAGGGGCCGAGCGCCAGGCAGCAGGTGAGTGCCCTGCGGAGGACCCACCGTCTGCACCCAGTGGCCCAGGGCGGTCCCCGCGGGTACGGGCTGAGCGGAGGCCCTGCACGGCGCTGCCGGCGCAGTCGCAGGGCTGCGGCATGCATGCCGCCGCTTCGGCCCCGCTGCGATGGACCGCCGACTTCCTGCACGTGCCGCCTTCTACGACGGTGCTGTCCTCGGCGTGGATCTCCGCGGTCGTTCCGCCTTTGCCCACGTCCCCAAACTGTGCGGGCCCGCTGCCTGCCGTCAGGCTGCAGGCATCGCCATTTGCGCTGGCCTGCTGCCTCACGCTGCGGCGGCCTTCCAGAGACGAGCTCGGACTCGACCTACAGTGTGACGTACTTGGTCGTGTAGCGGGTGTTGCCGGGGAGCCTGCTGGAGACATGGAACAGACCGCGCCCGAGGAGCACTGTGACTGCCTTCTCCGTGCGCCCAAGGACGCCCTTCGTTTTGTTGCCGGCGGCGCGGCCGGCTGCAACAGCACGCTGCAAGCGTGCCGCAAGGATCTGCTACTCGAGAGGGCACAGGGACCCGGCGGCTGCCACTGCTGGGCGGCGGGCTGAGCGCATCGCGGCTTGGCATCCATGCAGGCGCTGGACCTCGTCTGGCGTTCGAAATCTTCTGCTTGTTGTTGACATTCATGGTGGGGTCGCACTGTTGTCAGAGGTCCGCATTCTTTCTGCGAGTGAGGTCACGACCCGTGTGCCTTGTCTCTGCGTGTGCCGGTCCGCCCTCTCTTTTTTGAGGGTCCCCCCTGGAAAATCTGGCCTCCGCCAGCGCATCTTGCACCCGGACCTGCGGTGTTCGACATCGCCCAGACGAGCTGCCGCAGCGCAGCGCCGCCGCCGCCACCCCACGCGCCGCCGACCTCCTCGGCGAGGGAGAGGTGCGAACGCCCGCGCGGCGGCCTCGCGCCGTCCAGGCTGCCAGTGCGCGGCGAGGGGGCGCACCGCACTGCCAGGTCACTTGAGCCCGGCGGGATGGGCTGCGCGGTGGTGCCGATGGAGTCCTCGGCAGCCCGGGAGTCCGTGATGCCTTGCTTCAAGGCCACGTCCACGATGGGGGGCCAAAAAATATACACCACCACCACCACCTCCCTCCCCCCCTCCCTCTCGCTGGACAGAGGAGGGAGGAGGACTCGACGTGGTGGTGGTGTATATCCTTTGGGCCCCCACACGAGCAGCGAGCAGGTCAGAACGAAGATCCGCGGGACCTCCGTGCAGCTGCGCCGGCACCAGGACGAGGTCCTGCGGCGAGACGTCGGCACCGACATCTTCTGCGCCCGGGGCCATCGCCCTAAGAATGGACGCCCGAAGGCGATACCAGTGTACACCCTGCGAAATGCTTAAGAAATCATGGGTTAAGAAATTCATAGTCTCAGAAAGTGAATAAAACCCAGAACTTCTATCAAAATCTTGGGATTTACATTGAAAAGTTAAGAATAATCGAGACTCAGGACGAAACCTTAGGTCTTCTTAAGCATCGCCTAAGGTGTGGATGCCTTTGATGCACTGCTCGCGGCCGCGGCCCTCCGCCGCGGAGGGCACCCCAGCCTGAGGCGATTCGGTGCAGGCGCCGAATTGTCTGCCACGGAGAGTCGACTGGCCCCTCGTCCTCCCTCGCCCTCCCTCGCTCTCCCTCGTCCTCCCTCGTCCTCCCTCGCCCTCCCTCGCTCTCCCTCGCTCTCCCTCGTCCTCCCTCGTCCTCCCTCGTCGTCCTCCCTCGTCCCCCCTCGTCCTGGTCATGTTGACTGGCAGCTGGGGGAGTTCGGTAAATGTCCCTGCCTCCCGTTCTGCATTGTAGGTACTCCGCTGAAGCAGGTGCCGTTGCCACCGATCCCAAGCAACACACCACTTCTCAGGAAGCCCCAGCGCTTTGGCTTCCGATCCTGCCTGAGCGGGCAGTTCTACACCATATCTTGCGAGAAGTTTGGCAGCGTCCCATCTCTCCCCCTATAGTGCTCTGCGAGCCTGTGAGCTCTGCGGACCAAGCTTACGTGAAGGCGAGTCTCACATGCAGGTACGTGCCGTCGTCTGTCGTCGTTGTCGTTGACCGTCGTCGTCATTGAAGCTATCTCGCGCAGGCGCAACGCGTGCTGATGCGTCTCGTCGCCCGTCGCACACTCGTGCTGGAGGCGAGCGTGTGATCTCTTTCGAGGCCGGTCTCGTTCTTCTGAAAGAAGGCGGGTGTGGGAGGCGTGATGCTTGAACATCCGTACCCCAGACGGCGGGCTCCTCCGTTCCGTTCCCTCCTTCGCTCCCTTCTTGAAATCCCTCCCTCACCCTCCGTCCCAGTGCTGTCCGTGCTGTAAAGTCTGGCGAGCTTCCGAAGTGTTCGCGGCAGCAGGAGCCGGTGCGTCCGTGCAGGCCAGGCTCCTTGTCTCCTCTCCCCATGCACCCTCGTCCTTTGAACCCTCCTCCTTCGCCCTTCTCCCTACTCTCTCTCTTTCTGTCTCTTTCTCTCTATATATTTCTCTCTATCTCTTTCTCTCTCTCTCTCTCTCTCTCCCCCCCTCTCTCTCTTTCTCTCTCTCTCTCTCTCTCTCTCTCTTTCGCTGTCTTTCTCATATTGTTCTCTCGTGTGTTGTTTCTCTGTCTGTCTCTCTCTCTCTTTATCCGTCTGTTTTGGGCTGTGTCTCTACATGTTCTCGCTGTATCTCAAATTGTCGTTCCTTTCGTCTTTCTAACAGCGATCTCGTTGTCCCTTCCTCTATGGATCGTGGCCTCTCTTTCTCCTTATCCACACAGTTATCTATCGGGATCCCTGTCTCCCTCTTCTTCTCTTATCATTAGATTGGTATCCACTGATCGCTTTCTCTGGTTGTTTGTGGTTCTCTCTCTCGCTCTCTCTCTCTCTCTCTTTCTAAATATACATATGCATGGCTATACCATTATCTATGTATATATATATATGTTGTTCTCTCTCTCTCTCTCTCTCTCTCTTCTTATTTCTTTCACATTCAGGTCGTACTGTCACTGTGTATTCCTCTATTCTGCGTGTTCTCTGAGTCTATGCCTCGCTATCGTTCTCTCTATGTGTATATGCCACCTCTCTTTCTATGTTATAAGTGGTGTGCTTCCTCGTTTCTTGCTTTGTTGTCTCTCTCTCTCTCTCTTTCCCTCCCTCCTCCCCCAGACGTGGCCAACACGCACCATAGCATCACGTCCCCGCTTTTCCTGGGAGGGCGGGGGCACGCGCACGCGGGGGAAACAATGCCAGTCCCTCTGGTATCCTGCCCGCCCCTCAGCCGCGCAGCTCGGCCGCCGCGCGCTGCACATCCGCGACGCAGGAGCGCATGAAGAGGATCTCCGCGCCGTTGATGAGCTCATCGGCGGAGGCACCGCCCCTCACCTTCAGCTCCGCCGAGAGCTCCTTCACCAGCTCCGCTTTCCGCTTGCTCCACTTCTTGGACAACGCGCCCCTTGCCTCGCCCAGCTCTGGCGGCGCCTCCGAGATGGCCCGCGAGACGACGCGCCGCAGCGCCACGTCGGCGCTGTGCGCTTCGCTCTGTGCCTCGGCCTGTGGCTCGTCGCGCGGCGGCAGTGGCATCCAGAAGCTGCCCTCGCGGCACCGCCAGTGCTGCAGGAAGGCCTCCACCTGGCCCTCCGCTCGGGTGTTGCTGGAGGTGGCCCTGACCAAGGTGCCCTGAGCTGTTCGCTCCACCCTCTGGGGTCCTCTACTACCCTCGTCAAAATCAACCTCAACAGTTGCTGGCACGTCATTTCGATTTCGGCGCGCCCCTCAATGTCGACACGCCGCCCCTTCAATGTCGGGGCGAGGGAAAAGACAGTCTGACCGAAGTTGACCCGAAAGTTTGACGTCGACCGACATTGGAGGGGCGGCGCATGCAAGTACCCCGCACTCATCGATACTCGGCCCCAGATCTTCCGACAAGCAGTTCCGACACGTCAGACATTTGTGAAGTTCATTTTGACGAGGGTTGTAGGTCTCGCGAGGGGTGCCCTGGAGGCCATCCGGACCTCCCTGGACATCCCGGGGACACCTTGGGCCAGGGCCACCTCGAACAACCCACGATCTGTAGTCGCGCTGCAGGCGTCCAGAGTGAGGCTGACAGTCGAGGAAGCCAGAACTGCACAGACGTAAACGTTCGACGGTCCGCGCGGGCCGTCGAACATTTATGCCTGTGCAGTTTCTCCCTCTTCGAGACGAGCTCCCGCGCCTCCCACGACTCGCCGTCCGCCCGCGGCCACTGGAACACCTCGGCCATGTGTCGGATCGAGAAGTCGGGGACGCGGCAGGCCGCCTCCCGCTGGCGGTTGCGCGCCAGGCACTCGGCCTCGGGGGCCGAGAGGAACAGCTGCCGGAACGCGCAGCCGTGCTCGAGCGCGAGGTGGTACCACCTCTTCCTCATGCTCCTGTAGTCCGTCGCCGTGCCCCGAGGCACGAAGTGGAGTGTCCTCAGGCCCCGACGAGGCCCTCGAGAAGCCCCAGGAAGCCCCCAATGAGTCCCTAAGCAGTCCCAGGAGGCCCGAAAAGCCTTCGAGACGCCCCAGGAGGTCCACAAGAGGCCCGCACGAGGCCCCCCCAAAACTCCACAACCGCCTCCAAGAGCTTCCGAGAGGCCTCCCAAGAGATCCCCATGGGCATCCAAGAGGCCTCTGACCTACGCGCCAGGCACGGTGGCGGGATGGGCCCGCAAGCCACGAGGCCCGCCGCCCCCTGTACCTTGCCACAGGGGAGCACGGCGCGCTGGGCGTTTGCTTGTTCTGCTTCTTTTACGGCAAGTTCGTGCGGCATCGGCGCGCGCAAAGGTTTTTGACACCGCGTCGATCGTCCAACCTTGAGTCGATCGCGGCCCCGATCGTTCAAGGTTGATTCGGTCGGGTCCAGTGCCGTTAACGTGTACATCGGTGGCTCCGCATCGTAGAACTCAACCTGGAACGCCTTCGCTGGCGTCGCCTGCGCGCCAACGCCGCGCGAACCTACCGTATGCACTCTCAGTGGGGTCCCGGCCCATCGCGCCGGCCACCCGAGGAGTTCCCAACAGGTGGGGGGGCAGGGCCCCTGACGCCCGCAAGAGGGCCCAGGTGGCCTCCGAGATGACTCCAAGACGGCCGAGATGGCTCAGAGAGAGCCTCAGATGGTCGCGAGATGTCGCCGCGACGGCCCAAGATGCACCCAAGACGGCCTGAGACGGCCTCACGACGGGTGCCCCAAGAGGCCTCCAAGAGGGCTCCAAGAGAACCTCCGTTTGCCGAGCTCATTGATTCCCCAACTGTGCTTCGAGGATTTTAGCGTTCTCGCCTTTTCGGGCTTCCGATGCTCCAAGGCGGCTCCAGAAGCCTCGAAGACTGGCCAACGGCGGCGTGAGGCCCCCACGAGGCCCGTAAGACGGCCCCAACACGGACCAAGATGCCCCTAAGACGGCCCTAAGACGACCCCGTAGACCACCAAGACGGCCCTACACAGCCCGAAGAGGGACCCACGACTGCCCAAAGAGGGCCCCGAGACGGCCTCCAAAGGTCAAGAGGTTCCTTGGAGGCCCCCGAGAGGCCCTAGGGGGCCCCCTAAGAGACCTTTCGGAGGCCCCAAGAGGCTCCCAGAAAGCCCCCAGGAGGCCCCAAGAGTTCCTCAAGAGGCCTCCTCGTCTTCCTCATGTTTCTTTGTTTCTTCTTCTTCTTCTTCTTCCTTCTCCTCCTCCTCCTCCTCCTCCTCCTCCTCCTCTTTTTTCTCCCCCTTCCCCCTCCTCCTCCTCCTGGTCCTCATCCTTTCTCTTCTTCTCCCCGATATCCTCCCAAGGGCTCCAAGACGGCTCATAGATCTCCACGACGGCTCGATAGGCCCAAAGAAGGACCCACGACTGCCCAGACAGGGCCCCAAGATGGCCTCCGAAGGCCAAGAGGTCAGAAGCCCCAGAGGCCCCTAAGAGGCCTCTAAGAGGCCCCTTCGAGGCCCCTCAGAAGCCTCCAAGAAGCTCCCAAGAAGCCCCAAGGAGGCCACAAGAGGGCCTCAAGGGGCCTCCTCTTCATTCTTCTCATCCTCATCGTTCTCATTCTCTTCGCTCCCCTTCTCCTTCCTCTTTTCCTCCCCCAAATGTTCCGAGGGTTTCCACAACGGCGGAAGCCACTAGCTTGGCCAGACCTTGGCTCAACGCTTAGCCGCATATAGACGGACGGACGGACGGACGCCGACACAGGGCTCCGCGAAGGAGCTGCCGGGGGGCCGAATTAAGGCCTAAGCCCGCTCGCTTGTTGAGGTACTCGTCCTTCAGCGTATGCCAATCCGATGATTTTGTAATACTTTTGCCCAAACGTCGTGGCCGGTAGCTGTCTGCACATGGTGTTCAATGTCGTCCGCCCAGCAAGTTGTTGGCCGCCCTGGGCGAGTTCGACACCGTATGCGCAGCGAGTTTTATGTTGCTCCCATCGCACTTGAGGACCACATCCCAAAAATAATTTCGAGCACCAGAAGTGTCGAAAGAGTGTCGAAACAGTGTCGGACGAGTGTCTCTCAGGGCCCGACACGTGAAAACCCTCGAGTCCTGGTACTTGTTTGGTGCTCGAAATTCTTTCTGGTGGTGACGGCTAAAGTAGGGCGGAACATCATAAAGCGAGTTGCTTGATATCGTCTGCCCAGCGAATTTGCCTCAGAGACGCTTCCAAAGAGCGGGGGGCGGCGGTGGTTCGCCGCAAGCGCCGTCGATACATGTTGTCGTCCAGCAACAGGACCCGGCGCCTGGACGGGCATTCCGCCTGCAGCAGCTCGCCCGCGATCCGCGTCACCTCCTCCCGCGCGGCGCGCCACACCTGTAAAGGCCTCCGAGGTGGGGTCCGAGTAGATGGGGTCCAGGGATCGCGCCGCATCACCGATGCATCGGTGACGTCGTCGATGCGTTGGCGCCGACGGCGTGGAGAAAATCGGGCTTCACATCGAGCCGCATCGGCGATGCATCGGCGACGCGGCGCAACCCTCCGAGCCCATCTGCTCGGACCCCATCTGGGAGGCCTAGCACCGCGGGGTCGAAGCTGCCCTCCGGGCCCCGCAGCTCCGCCTCCACGGCGTCGTAACTGAGGTGGCGGCAGTCCACCGGGCCGTCCAGCAGCGCCGGCTCCGCGGCGAGCCGCACGCGCAACGCCTGGCAGAAGGACGACTTCCCGCAGCCGGGCAGGCCGCAAACGAAGAGCGGCTACACGCAAGAGGGACTCTCGGCAAGAGTGGCCTCTGGTGTTCAGCTCGCCAAACCCTTGGTGTGCGGCTCGCAGCCGGCGTGGCGACGCCCCGAGGGCGAGGACCCCGTGCTGCAGATCCCAGGCATGCAGCCCAGCACGTGGTGCGACCCCTGCGGCAGGTTCGCGTCGTGTCGACCCCCGCCGATCGTTGCATGCGGCGCGACAAGGATGGCCTGTGCGCTTGGACTTGGCCCTCCCTCGCCGCCTCAATCTGGAGTCCCGAGACGGTACGGTGACGGACCGTGTGGTGACCTCGACATCTCCCAAGACCTCACCGCACGGTCCGTCACCGCACGGTCTTGGGACCCTGGAGGCCCCCGTCGCCCGAGTCACCCTCGGAGAACGACCCGAGTCCCAAAACCGTGCGGTGACCCCGAGTCCTCACCGACTCACCGCACGGTGCGGTCACCACCCCGTTTGGGGACCGCCGACTCAAGGCCGCGCACCAACCCTGACCTTCCGGAGAGCTATTTTTTAGCACTGGAGGCCTAAACACCTAAAACACTGCACGAAACATCCTAAAACCAAGACGTATAATAGCTCTGGGATACATCGCCGTGACGAACATTTCTTTCAATTTGCCTTTTGGAATGACGCGTTCGTGCGGAGTAGCCGCGCGCAATCGCATCCCGCTCGGTAATTTACATGGCTTGGCGCGGAGTAGTTTCCGATCCCGTTTTGGGGCAACAGAGTGATTAACGTCCCCGGGATCGGAAACTACTCTGCTGAATGACCCAGCACCATGCCATGTTAGGAATCTTGAGGGGGATGGGAGAGATCTTCATCATAGCAAATCGAAGAAGCTTTTGTCACGGCTGTGTAGGTTTTTAGGTCGGGTGCTATTTTTTTTTTTTGCCCTCCTGGAAGGTCAGGGCAAGGCCCCTCCGGCGGAGGCGCCGCCCTTGCGCACCGCCGCGAGGAGCAGGCACGCCCGCTGGCCGGAGCTCCCGGGCGGCCCCGGCTCCAGCCCGCCCGGCTCCGCGGCCATCGCCCTCGCCGCCGCCCCTCGAGGCGCGGGCGGGAGCTCCTGGAGGAGGAGGGGGAGGAGGAGGAGGAGGAGGAGGAGGAGGAGGAGGAGGAGGAGGAGGAGCCTGGGGCCCGGAGTCCGCCGCCGCCCCCCCCCCCGCCGCCGCCCTGAGCCTCGAGCCAGGGCGGCCACGGATGGGCCCGCGTGGCTCAAGCGCAAAGGCCCTCAAGGCTCTGCCGGTGGCACCTGGTGGCTCAGGTGGTGGCTCTCGGAGATTTCTTTGGACGTTCATAGGAACAGGAGGAGGAGGGGGAGGAGGAGGAGGGGGGGAGGAGGGGGAGGAGGAGGGGGAGGAGGAGGAGGGGAAGGAGGAGGGGGAGGTTTTTGCTTAGCTGGAGGAGGAGGAGGGGGAGGAGATGAGGAAACACCTCATCTGGCGTGGTCCCGTGTCTGTCCCCCTTTGCCCTCTCTCCTCTTGCCTTCCCCCGTCGCCCTTGGCTTCGGTGGCCGCTGCGGCTCCGATGGAAGGGGGAGGGGGGAGAAGTAAGGGAGGTCTGATGCTGACTATGATGGGGGAGCGTGAGAGAGGATGCTGATGCTGCGGGTGACAGCGGGAAGGGCGGGCTGGCTGGATGGGGGGGAGGGAGAGTGGGGTTGGGGGGTCAAGGCGTCAGGGGAGTCCAGGGGGTTGGGTGGTGTGGGGGGGATGGGCAGAGAGGAGGGTAATTAGGGAGGGCGGGGCACAGGAAGAAAAAAAGGTCTGGGCCAAGAGGGGAGAGCGCCTTCTCTCATTACCGTTCGTCGTTCGTCATCGTTCGTCGTCGTCGTCGTCGACGACGACGACGAACGACGAGGACGACGAACGACGTCGAGCCCCCTCCTCCGCCCGAGAGGGGAGGTGCGATGGGCAGGGGCGTCCATCGCGTGATGCAGCCCACGCCCATGGGCACGCGCTGCTCCGAGAGCGGCGCCCGCGGGGGTTCGGGGGGCGGACACTGGCGTAGCCTCCCGCTCCTTTCATCCCCTCCCGATCGCGATCCCGATCCCCATGCCGCTCCCCCTCCCTCTCCCATCCTACTCCCTGTCCCCCAGGCCTGCCCCACTCCTCCTCCTCCTCCTCCTCCTCTTCGCCCCTCCTCCCCCCGCCATCTCCTCCTCCTTCCAGGCTGCCCCTTTAGGGCATCGAAATCTGCCGCCCAGCCAGAACGATCGCAGAATTGTGCCAGAGGTAGTTCTGCGTCCCACGCCCACAGGCTTCGGGGGGCGGGGGGACTGGGGGACCCGCCACTCGCGAAGCACGGGCAAAACGCAGCGGGGCCACACATCAGGTAAGTACTGTAACGTGCATCGTCTCTTCGTCTTCTGGTGGAACTGTTTTGTGCCACATTTGATCTCGAGCTCTCGGGATACATAAGTGCGACCCCCAGCTTGAGAAGACGGCAACGCATCCGACGCACACATGCAACACACATGCCGGATTTTGCAGGGTGGATGTTTTGAGAGGCCTATCATTACCACCCCCGCTGGGACCAGCGCAGAGATCAGAAGATCAGCGTGCCGAGTTTGATGGAACTCCCCTGTTTGAGCATTTGGGACACAAGCGATGAATGAACACAAATTGACAGGCGACATGGAGGTTCAATGTACAATTGAAGCGGATGGGAATCAATCGCTGTACGCCTGGCGGGCCCGATGCTGTCCTGGAGAGAGCACCCCGCCAGCGCCCAAGCCAGAGACCAACGTACATAGCACTATCATCGTGGATGCAACGCTGGTGGAGACACAACATATTTTGAAGAGTTGATTGGGCCGTTTTGCAATGCGGGCAACCCGGACTAATTTCAATCGTTCCTAGACGAATTCCCATACGGTTTGGGAAGTTTCTGCAAGCGCTTGTATATCCAAAGATTCAGAGAGTTTGCAGGCGGGCAGCGATCTCCTTACGCAAGAAATAAACCGATTGGCAGAAGCGGTGGCGCTGTCAGATGTTGTAGGGCAGTTAAACATCTGACATCTCATCAAGCCAGTACGCACGTACATCGGCGAGCCTAGGCTTCTACAACAAACAACGGACTAAGCTTGCCACGACTCGATTCACCCAAAACGTCTCAATCGTCTCAAGAAGCCGAGGGGAATGGCACCACAGGCGTGCTCAACCTACTGCCTGACAACGTCTATGTTTGTTTGCGTAAAAAAGTAAGGGGCCGAACGGTCATTCACTGTCCCTGGGCGCGTGGCTGAAGCGATGTTCTGCGGTGCGGGTTGTTGTTATTGTTGTTGTTGCTGCTGCTGCTGTTGTTATTGAACTCTCACTACTTTAGAATAAATATTGTTGATCCCCCCTCCAATAACATATGTGCTTTTTCAATTGAAGTGCCCCTCCTGGGGTTCGCAGCTTCTTTCCGATCGAACAAATATTCCTCCTCAAATTGTGCCCCTGGCCCCCGGTTTATAACACCAGCGGCTCCCGCCTGATACTTCCTTGCAATTTACTAAGGAATCGCGCTCTCGCTAGGGACTTCCGTACAATTTATCCAAGAATCGCACTCTCGCCAGTGACTTCCTTGCAATACATATATATATACACATATATTTATTTATATATATATATGAGAGAGAGAGAGAGAGAGAGAGAGAACCATCGCGCGCGCTTCGCGCGCGCTCAGGTTCTAGTAGGCCCCAGGCCTTGACGAATTCACTGCTGCACTGAAGTAGTGGACCACAGTACACGCATGCCAATCTGCATCCCGAAAGGCTTTCGAGGAAAATGGTTGTGTAGGGGGGCGGAGGCAGTATGAATCGGGTTCCCAGAAGGCCTTCTGGGAGCATGGGTTTGGGGGCGTCTTGGGGAGCCTGTTGGGGCGTGCCGTCGTCGTCGTCGTCGTCGTCGTCGTCGTCGTAATGTCGTCGTCGCCTATTGGGGCGCGCCGTCGTCGTCGTCGTCGTCGTCGTCGTCGTCGTCGTCGTCGTCGTCGTCGTCGTCGTCGTCGTCGTCGTTTCGTCGTCGTCGGTTCAAGAGGGCACTTGGGGCAACTTTGTGCAAAACGATCTGCGGAGGGCCGCGAGAAGGCGATCAGTCATGTTCCCAATCAACTTCCCAGACAGCTCTCCTGTAGCATGATGGTACTTCGAAGCCTCTGGAGACTGAAGGGCCCATGATGAACCATGTCCCCGGAAGGCTTTCTGGGGACATGGTTTGTTAAGGTGTGTTGGGGGGTCTCTTGGGCGTTCCCTGGGGGCCCCTTGGGGGCCTCCGGGAACTCTCGGGCCCATGATGAACCATGTCCCCGGAAGGTTTTCTGGGGACATGATTTCTTGGGGTGTGTTGGGGGGCCTCTTGGGCGTTCCCTGGGAGCCCCTTGGGGGTCTCTTGGGGCTTCCTGGGGGCCTCTTGGGCGCCTCACGGGGCTTCGTGGGAGCCTCTTGGTGGCCTCCAGGGGGCCTACAGGCGGCCTCCAGGGCCAGAGACCTTGAAATATCGGTTGGCGGGGCGGGCCGACCGGGCGGCGGGCCTGCAGCAGCACTCCTGCCCGGGGGCCCCGCTTGCCTTGAAGCCGTTTTAGGGGCCGAGGCCCCCGGCGGCCTCATCCCTATCCTGCTCCTCCTCCTCCTCCTCCTCCTCCTCCTCCTCCTCCTCCTCCTCCTCCTCCCTATCCTTCTCCTGCTCCTCCTGCTCCTCCTGCTCCTCCTGCTCCTCCTCCTCCTCCTCCTCCTGCTGAGACTTGGCAGCGACGCCTGCGGCCAACACGAGCCAGTGAGGCATGGCCAGTGCTGGCAAGCGGAGCTATAGCAACGCTGCGCAGAGCTTTTTGTCCCTACCTAGGCTCTGCCTAGAAGGGTTCTTACTCTCTTAGCTTAAAGGGCCGGGCAATGGAAACCGCCCCGGGCGGTTCCCCCAGTCCCCGCCCCGCGGTTCCCCCAGTCCCCTGGGAGCTTTAGCCTTAGCTTTAGCTTTAGCTTAGCTTTAGCTTTAGCTTTAGCTTAGCTTCAGCTTAGCTTTAGCTTAGCTTTAGCTTAGCTTTAGTTTAGCTTTAGCTTAGTGTTAGCTTAGTGTTAACTTAGCTTTAGCTTAGCTTTAGTTTAGCTTTAGCTTAGCTTCAGCTTAGCCTTAGCTTAGCTTTAGCTTAGTGTTAGCTTAGCCTTAGCTTTAGCTTAGCTTTAGCTTATCATTAGCTTAGCTTTAGCTTATATTTAGCTTAGCTTTAGCTTAGCGTCAGCTTAGTGTCAGCTTGGCGTTAGCTTAGCGTTAGCTTAGCTTTAGCTTAGCTTCAGCTTAGCTTTAGCTTAGATTTAGCTTAGTGTTAGCTTAGCCTTAGCTTAGCTTTAGCTTGGCTTCAGCTTAGCTTTAGCTTAGCTTTAGCTTAGCTTTAGCTTAGCTTTAGCTTAGCGTTAGCTTAGCTTTAGCTTAGCGTTAGCTTAGCATTAGCTTAGCGTTAGCTTAGCTTCAGCTTAGCTTTAGCTTAGCTTCAGCTTAGCTTTAGCTCAGCCTTAGCTTAGCTTTATCTTAGCTTTCGCTTAGCTTTAGCTTAGCTTTAGCTTAGCATTAGCTTAGCTTTAGCTTAGCTTTAGCTTAGCTTTAGCTTAGTGTTAGCTTAGCCTTAGCTTAGCTTTAGCTTAGCTTTAGCTTAGTTTCAGCTTAGCTTTAGCTTAGAGTTAGCGTAGTGTTAGCTTAGCCTTAGCTTAGCTTTAGCTTAGCTTCAGCTTAGCTTTAGCTTAGCTTTAGCTTAGCTTTACTGTTACTACTAATGCTGCTTTCCTAGGGGCTCCAACTCCTAGGTAGGGTCGCACTGGGATAATGTCTTCCCACGCATCCACGACTCCTCCTCTACTCCGACCTGTACTAATCACCAGAACCACCACCGCTAATATACCTCCTGATGCCACCTACCATCACCATCGCTATCACCACTTTTTCTATTCCAACCTCCGTCTTTCGACAGGCGGTGGCCTGCTTTGTCCCGGAAGTGTCCCGGCTAGGCTTTGATTGCTTTAGTTGGGAGATGGTGTCCCAAATTTGTCTCGAGTCTCGATAGCGTCTGGGCCTGCCTCGCATTCTCCTCGTGTGCTCGCAGCCGTGGATCACCCCCGTGTCAGAGTGGCAGGAATGGTTAAGCAACGGCCAACGTAGACCTTCAAACGTCCAGTTCAACTGGATCACGGAATTAAGAGATGTGAATTCGAGTCGACACAACAAAAACTCCATGCCAGCCATGCCAGCTAAGGAAGGAGGAGGAGGAGGAGGAGGAGGAGGAGGAGGAGGAGGGGGGGAGGAGGAGGAGGAGGAGGAGGAGGAGGAGTTGGAGGAGGAGGAGGAGGAGGAGGAGGAGCACATGCGCTCCATGCCAGCTAAGGAAGGCCATGCCACCCTCCTGAGAGGGGGCCGCCCAGCAGGCCTGCAGGAAGGCTCAGCTGGCTGAGAGCTCCTGCTTGGCGACCTCCTCAGTAGGGCCAGCGCGACGACAGGAGATGCACGCAAAACCACGAGTACAATCAAAAGAAACCGCAGGGGATGAAACACAAGAGGCGCAGTGCGAAGCATGATGAGCAGGAGGATGACGATGAGGAACGAGAGACGTATGAGAAGCAGGCCCTGCCGAATCAAGAACCTGAAGTGTGATGAAAGCAAGCAAGATGTGAAAGACAACCTGGATGCCCAGGAAAGGCTCCCGGTCTCCTCGGGAGAGGAGGGCTGAACCAGACTGGATCTGCATGTGGTGTGCATCGGAAGGGGCACGGTGGATCGAATCGGAACGGCCAGAAGGAAATTGGATTTCTGTGACCACCAACACAGCTGCGGAGTCCCTTCTGCAGCGAACCGTCTATTCCTGGGCGAGCCGCGCGCATGGCCATGAAGATCAGGTGGTCGATGCGGCATTCACTGAAGGGCACTGCTGACATAGAAGCGGGGAGAGAGGACTGGCACACCTGGAACGTCCTGGAGGAGCAGTGTGTGTGTGTGTGTGTGTGTGTGTGTGTGCGCGGCCTGGGCCTCGCTGGATTGGTGCCTGGCCCTGTCCGAGACGCGACGCTACCGTCGGCGCGTATCATAAGGATGCGCGATGAGGACGCACGGGTCTTGGGTGCCCACGTGGAAGCTTTTCGAGCCAGGCGCGGCCAACGAGAGTGGCCAAGGATGGACCGAGGAGGCAAGGATGCAAGGGTACCCCTGGGGAGGTCGCCCAGCCTTGCTATGCGGGTTGACTGTAACATGGAGCCCTCCCCTCCCTCCACGCAGGCCTCTACTCTCACATTGACCTGTCTCGCTGCCCTCGGTCCGCTGTCTGCAGAAAGTCGCTGGACAGCTGATGCCGAGGACACTCGCTGACAGCAGGCTATATAGACGAGCGCGTTGCACCACTCGCAAAGTAACCACTCGCAAATGGCCTGGATCCGCCGCAGGGGATCTACGGCAAATGTCGTCGAAACAGAAATATGTTTTTCGGACGTTTGCGAGTAGGCCCTTTGCGAGTAGTGGAGCGCGCTTGGTGACTATAGGACTACAGGTAAGTTGATGACAGCCCCAGGGGACCCCTCCCCTCCCCCCCGCAGCTCGCGCCGGGGCGCGGCCACCCCGGGAACGTAAGAACGGTGGGGTCGTGGCGCCGTGAGCTCGAGAGGGAGCCGGGGGAACGGCCAGCAGTGCCGCGCGAGCGCGGCACTGCCGGAGGAAGGGGGCGGAAGTCCTCGCCTTGGAGGGTTTCTCCGAAGGGCTCAGGCGACCCCTCCTCCTCCTCCTGCTCCCTCCTCCTCCTCCTCCTCCTCCTCCTCCTCCTCCTCCTCTTCCTCCTCCTCCCCCTCCTCGCCCTCCCCTCCTCGGGTCGCCTACGGCCCCGGGGGAAACCGTCCACCTTGCCTGAGGGGCAAAGTTAGGGGTGGACTGGCTCAGGGGGGGAAGCGTCGGCCTGGACTCGGCGATGCAGTCGAAGCGTATCAGAAGGATGCCCCATCAGGATGCAAGGGCCCTGGAAGGCCGTTTCGAGGCTTTTCGAGCGGGGCGCGGCCAGCGAAAGTGGCCAAGGATGGACCGAGGAGGCAAGGATGCAAGGGCACCCTGAAAGAAACCTGCCCATCCTTGCTAGGCGGGTTGACTTCAGCGAGCGAAGAACGGTATACAATAAACTTTGTCGCCGTCGGGGACACCTGCCCCTGGGCGGCTGGAAAAATTTATGTTACACCGTTCTTCGCCCGTTAATGACTGCACGTCGCCGATGGATCGGCGATTGGTCCCCCATAGCGAGGCCGCGCGCTCCTGGGGTTGGGTGGGCCATCGGGCCCTCCCTCGGCGATTTGTGGGCGAGTCGGGGTGGATGCAGCCGCCCACCTGCCTGAGCCGACCCTTCCCGAAACGTTGTGCCAGCGATCCGGATGGCCTCCGGGCCATCCCTGACCTTCCAGAGAGCTATCTTTTAGCACTGGAGGCCCAAACATCTAAAAACAAATGAGCGAAACAGCCTGAAACCAAGACGTAGAACAGCTTCGGGATAGGTTTTTACGCCGGGTGCTACTTTTTAGCCCTCCTGGAAGGTCAAGGATAGCTCGGCCGTGCGGGACGCTCCGGGCCACCTCGCACGCCCCTCGGCGAGGCG